AGGTGACCGAGGACAGCTCTCAGCCTCCCCACCRCACAGAAAGGACACGTCAGCCACACTGGTCACATGCAGGGTCCCGCCTGCAGAGGTGACAAACCACAGCCACCCTTGGGCTGACACATAAAGAGGGACAGCACAGAATGACGTATCCACCCACAGCTGTGGCTAAAGCACTGCTCGAGCCACAGGTCCTGCCCCCATTTACTGCCTGGCTTGCCCCTTCAAACCCTTTCAGTTTGCCCCCACAGCCACAAAACCTCCTCCTGTAGCCTTGAGGCTTTCTGCTCCCAATGTCCCACCACACTCCCAACGGGAGCGAGCAGGGCCTTTTCTGYGCTGATTTAACAACAAGCCACAGCAGCCACGTGCACGCCGGCAGCAAAAAGTGAAAGGATGCTAGTGTGGGGGGAAAACCTCCATTCCAGCAGCTAAAAAGCCCTATAAAACCCTAAAGCATCTCCAGAACCCACATGAGTGCAGAGAGTGAGGCTGTCAGCTGCTGAGGCAGACAACGTCCTGGTAATGCAGTGGTGAAAAGATTTAGAAAAACACCAATACACTTGAAGGGAAGATAAATGTCTGTGGACACATTTGCTCCCAGCACAGACTCCAGCTCACTGTGGCTCGATGCATGACTTTCTTCAGGAGGAGCTGGACAGCAGTGCTCCAGAGAGAAACCAGATGTGCAAGTCCAGGCAGTCTCCAGATCAGGAARGCTGCTGTGGTTGTCTCCATCCATCGAGGGAAGAGTTTGCTGCCACCTTAGGGTCTGTCAGCACAGCTGAGGAGCTCGATCCCAGCTCCTGGGAGTGCAACGTGCTGGTGGGAGCTGGTTATTATGGCTGTCCATGCAGTCTCATGGTGAAGAGAACTGTCTCCTTCTGGCCAAAGCCTCCAGCAGAAAGCCTGGTGTCTAAGCCTACGCTGTAATAAAGGTTGTGATGGTTTAGCTTCACAGCTGGGATTTGCTGGAGGATGAGACTCTTGCTGCCAATAGGAATTTGCAGACAAAAAAAAGAGCCAAAACTGCGTTGCATGGAGAGCAGTTGCTTTGAAGTTGGCAGTGTTGTCACATCTTGTCTCCTCCAGACGGTTGCACTGCTTGGTGAATTTGAACATCCACCAGCACACGGAGGAGAAGATGACCCCAGGTCCTTGTGARCTCTATGTCTCTGCATCAGAGATGTTTGGGTTCACTGAACACCCATAGTAGCAGGGAGAGGAAAATGATGGGAGTGACCATGCACCGAGTCCCAAGCGGAGAGTCCTGCAGCAGCTGGGGCAGTGTGAGGACCCACTGAGCAACACCTGCCAGGACCTTTGGGGCAGGACACCAGACAGGAGCTGCCCACACATAGGGACAGCAGCAGTCCCCTCGAAGGAGCCCAGAAAGGCAGCAGCAGATGGACAGCCAAGCACAGCAGGAGTGTCTGCCCACCTCAAAGTGTTTCAGAGCCRGTCAGTGCTTTCCAATGAGAACTCAACTGTTTGCCTCCCTGCTGTCAGTGGAAGGATCACTTGGACAAATGATGCTTGGGGGACAAGGGGGAGAAATATCTCCCAGAATTAACAGCTGAAGATGACAAATACCAAGACCAGGGGGAAGGAGCTGTATCTCAGGAGCATCTGCTCTTGACCCCACTTCAGTGCCATGGCCGTATGGTAACGGCAGCAGCTCAATACAGAGAGAGGGAGACAAATCCTTCTGGTGGCTGTGACATCAAGGGGTGAACACGTTGGCAATGACACGTCTCTCCCAACAGCTGGGAACTTCCCAGAGCTGGCACCTGCCTGCCTACCTCTCACCTCTGAAGGGGCTCTGGCCTCTGAGGCAAGGCAGGGACAGCTCAGTCCTCAGGGACACTGCTGGGGTAGCCTCTCCTCGTGTGAAACAACTGCGTTTGGATTTTCCTCCACCAAGAACAGGGAGAAAAAAAAAGAACCCACACCCCTTCCTGCCATCTGGAGAGTCAGTCGACACAAGCCAAAACACGTGTGCCATATGTACACAGCTGTGGAGCGCGGGGACGCCGCCGTGAGCCCATCTGTCCAGCGTGCTGCGTGCCAGTCTCCTGCCCTCGGGTGGGCTGCTGGGACAGGGAGAGTGTCCTGCAGAGAGGGTGACATCCCCTTCCTCCTCCTCCTCCGCCTCCTCCTCCTCCTCCTCCTCAGCAGGCATGGATGGACCCCTGCAGTGTGGCCATGGAGGGTCTGATCCTGCAAGCAGTGGGGTTTGATCTCCTGTGTGCCAGTGAGGATGAATATCCCCACTCTCATGCATCCAAACAGGGTGAGGATAGGGATGACACCTGCCTGGGTGTTGGGTACCAGTGACTGAGCAAGGCTCCTGCTTCCAGCAGCTCCAAATTGAGCACCTGACCCCTTCCCAAAGGAGCCGGGGCCAGGGGCGGCTGTGTTTGAGCACGCCGCAATCCCTGCTCCTCGCCCGCCTGTCTGCGGGGACGGATCAGTTTCAGTGCCTCAGGAAAAGYCTCCCAGCTGCTTAAGAGCCTGATATGTGATGACAAGGAGGGGACGGAGGGCTMACCAAGGAACAAGAAGCAAACGGGGGCCTGCAGCAGACGGCACACACGGGGCTGAAGGCCCTTGGTACGCTCTGGGATGTGGGAGGATGGCACTGACCTGGGCCAAGAGAAAACCTCCATACTGCATGTCCCTCTAGCAGTGCATCTCCACAGCCCTGCTGGCCCCGCTGGCCAAGGCAGAAAGAAACACCTTCTGATCCGAGCTGCTCCTCAGAAACCCCTCGGCCGYCACCGCTGCGAATGACGTGAGTGACAAGGCTGTGCAATGAAGCTGACTGTCACCTGATGTCACGCACGGCACCAGGCACGCCGCTGGCAGCCCAACAAGAAATGAATGCAAATGTCATCCAATGATGGTCGGGACAGCCAGCCCACCCCTCAGCAAATCGCTAGGAAAACCTCGCGGCAAACATTTCGCAGRGAATGATTTCTTTCTCTCTGCAGAGCGAACACAGCTCTGCCAGTGTGCTCCAGTGCTGACCCTGGGGACCGGCTTTCATGGCAAGAGAGGACAGCAACTTGTTCTCCAGGCTCTTTGGGCTCCCAGCTGAGCCCACGGCTGAAGTGATTTATAGAGACAGGGCCAAGGCCAGGAATCTGAGGCTTTTCAAGAGTTGCCCATTTCCCAAAAGAGTGCGGCTTTAATTTGTTGCCTGCCTGACTTCTGCTTGAGGCTCAGCCTAGAACAAGATTGCCAGTGATTTGGGAAATCAGTGCTACTTCCCCTTGCGGTTTTGGTGGTGTAGATGTCTGTCCATGGAGAATTAGACTGACACTTCCAAGCGTGTTACACACAGTCACCAAACAACTGAAATATGGAAGCAGCTTACAGAAAAAAAATTTATCAAGTCTGGAGTTTGCATCTACAGGGGYGGCCTCTCAGCACCGGGGGACAGCACCCAGCACGCCCTGGATTATCAGGATTKTAACGGGAGCAGTCAGATCCCACCACTGCACGGTGATCAAAAATGCTCCAGTTTAGATGCTCACCAGCGATTCTCTCCTGATACACAGCCCTGGTCTCAGCCCCTGAGGTTAGGRCTGGAAATCTGTTTGCAGAAGTAGATGATGGGAAAGGATTAACTGTTGGGGTGCAGCTACACAGGACACGGCAGACATTGAGAAGGGTTGCAGCCCTTCTTCAAGGGCTGAAGGGTTGAAGCCCTATCTTCATGCTGAAGATAGGAAGAAGCAGCTTTCATGTAATCAGGAGAGGATCAAGTCCTAAAGCGACACTTGGGGAATGGCTCAGATTAATAATGTCCATAAGATGACAGGGAAAAGCCWGCCTGTGTGAGCTCCCCTGAAAGCAGAGCATGCTGCTCCCACCAGGCTGCAGGGACCATCCAGGGAGAGTTGACAGCACTTCTCACAATCAGACTCATCTGCAGCTCACAGCCCTCTGAGCCCTGTGCAKCTCCTCCTTCCTGCACACCTGGAATAATCCCATCAGCACTTAACAGAAAGGCAGAAAAGCCAGCACAGCTGGGCTTGCACAATGTGACAGCACATCTTTGTCTATCAGTGAGCTGTTACACGGTGCCTACACGCAGAGAGGGCTGAGCACAGGAGCCAGGRCACTCATTTATCCTTGTGCAGAGGAGAGCGGCTTCTCTGTATCTCTCCTCATCCTGGGGAGCTGATGGAAGGATTTYGACCTAAACCTTTAATTTACCTTTCAATAGCTCCACCCTGACGGTGTGARCATGTCTATTGTCCTTCACAGACGACCATGAGGATTTTCAAGCCCTCTTAAGAAGAAAGCGCAGCACCAGACACACTTCAAACACAYACTACAGTAAAAATCACGGGAAACTAACTGGCAGAGGACCACAACTGGGCTACCCCTAGCAGACAGGGCACATARAAAGTTTCAGAGGCTGCTGCAAGAGCCCCAAGAGCCCTGAGGAATTAGGCACCCTGCACCAAAGTCAAGAGGAGCACGGTGCTGCCCAAATTCCCGTTAATCCCTTTGGGGCAGCTCACCGCGGCTGGACAGCTGGCAAGTACACGTGCTCTTAGCACAGGAAGGAGCATCACCCCAGCTCCCAGCTTGACCAAGCGCCACTCTACACACTCTGTCCTCACTCGGAGGGATCTCTCCGGTTTGTTTTATTTTTCGCCCTCCACACCACTCTCCCTCCGGGAGAAAAAAAAAAAATCAAAACTTTCTAACTGCAAACAAATTAAAAGCCCTTATTTATTTATCTTGAGTGTTAGCACAGTTCTAGGGTTGGTACTTCCAGGCATTTTGAACCGACTTCCCCTCCTGTCAGGCGGCCGCTCGGCTCCTGCCCTTCACCTCCCCTGGCCCCGTGTGCGGGGCAGCGCGGGCGCTCCCCCGTCCCCTCCAGCCCCTCGACGGGCGGAGCAGGGGCCGTGCCGGCCAAGCGCTGCCCGGTGCCCCCCGCGGGCGTGCGGAGGGGCCGGCGGTGCCCGGACGGCGGCAGGTACCTGCTTGCGCAGCGCCTCGAAGGCGGCGCTGATGGTGTGGACGCGGGTCCTCTCCCGGGCGTTGGCCAGCAGCCGCCGCGTCTGCTGCAGCGCTTTGATCTCCGGCGAGACGCCGGACGCCTCGCCCGGCCGCGGGCGCGGGGAAGCGGCGGGCGGCGGCGGCGGGGCG